AGAGAGAGAGAGAGAGAGAGAGAGAGAGAAAGAGAGAGAGAGAGAGATAGTATAGTGTATTATATTCACTAAGTGTATTATATATACTAAATGTATAGTATAGTGTATTATATAATACACTATACTATATATGCAATTAAGGGAAGAATAGACTAAAATATACACTAACATACTATATATATATATAAGAACATGAAGCGCTCGGAACACAGGGCCGGGTTCATTTAGGTATTGATACACTTGTAAATTGAATTAAAATCCTAAATTTATATATATATATATATATATATATATATATGTAAGCTATATTCGATATAATATTAGCTAATATATCTATATATCATATACTAAGTGTATAGTATATATATGTCACGACCCAATTTCCAAACCCGATGGTGCCTCTCGTGAAGACAAGGCCAGCCAACTAACCCAATTCGTCTCTTTCAAAATAATTTTTAACATAAATGAATAGCAAAAACACGACTTAATGTCATTAAGTAACAATATGTACAACCCAACACAGCCCGACCGAGGTGTCACAAGTCACGAGCATCTAGAAGGATTTTGGTACAATTACAAAGCCTGTAATACATAGATAAAAATCTGGAATAAAAAGGAAGAAATCCGGTGCCGCGAACGCTAGCGGTCACCTTTCTCGGCTACGATAGTAAATCCTCATCCAGCTCAAACCCGCTACCGGGTAAACCAATGCCTGCATCTGCACGCAAGGTGCAGGGAGTAAAGTGAGTACTCCAACTCAGTGAATAACAAAGGTAAATAATAACTGAGCAGCAAGAAACTACGTAAAGCAAGCCATCATGCTACATAGGACAGTGTAACCCTTTGAGAAAACAGTGAAACCGTGAAATCCTTAGAAATATCTGGACTCAGTTTAAAATCTCTTTTGAAAATATCTTTCAGCACAAAAGTCAGCCCCTCGGGCACAGCACTCCATCAACAAATAACACCAGGGTATCAGGTAAGCAGTGCAAGAAGTAGCATAGAAGCCAATGAAATGCGAGTGCTGGAATGTCATGACAAATAATACAAATAGGAACAAATGCATGAGTGCAATGCAATGCATATGACGGTACACTCTGGTACCCACTGCGGCGTGCAGCCCGAGCCATCCATATATTTAACGTCGACGGCGCTCACTGGGGGTGTGTACAGACTCCGGAGGGGCTCCTACAGCCCAAGCGCAAATAATCAAGCCATCTCGTGGCACCAACCAGGCCCTCGGCCTCAATATCAATATAATACCGCTGCGGCACGCAGCCCAAGCCATCCATATATCCAGAAATCGTTATAACACTGCTGCGGCGCGCAGCCCGATCCATGCTCAGTCCAGAAATGCACATAAGCCACTTGGGCAATATAAAAATAATAGTTCTCAGCTCAAAACGTCAATAAAATATTGTTTGAGTTTTCAAATCTTAGAAAAAAAACGGCTGAGTTTGCAAAACAGTATTAAAACCTTGGACCGAGATCAAATGATATGCAAAGTAATGCGAAAACAGTGATATCAATCCCTGAAGGATTCAAATAATCGGCACGAAGCCCAAATACGGCAATCAGCCTAAATCATGAAAATATCAAATAAGTTTCAGTCAATTACGCGGTAAAATCAACAACCGGGACGGACCAAGCACAATCCCCCAACGGTGCTCTACCCCACGCTCTCTATCCGGCGTGCAAGTCACCTCAATATAGCACTATGGGTGCAAATTCGGGATTTCAAACCCTCAGGATATCATTTACAATCATTACTCACCTCGAACCGGTGAAATTTCTAGCTCGCGACGCCTTTGCCCCTCAAATCGGCCTCCACGTACGTCGAATCTAACCAAAATCAGAGCGAATACATCACAATATGCTAAAGGAACAATACTCAATCGAAAACAATCGAAAATTAGCAAAAATCTTGAAACTAGCAAAATCCGAGCTCCGGGCCCGCTTCTCGAAAAATTATAAATTCACATCAACGGATTCCTCATCTCGCCACGAGTCTATACATACCAAATTTACCAAAATCGGAGTCCATTTGACCCTTCAAATCCCAAATTTTCATTTCAAAAGTCAAGCCCTAGTTCTTCCAATTTTACTCAAATTTCCATGAATTTAAAGGTTGATTCTTCAATAAAATGATGTTTCTAGGCCATAGGACTTACCTCCAATCAATTCCCGTCGAAACCCTCTTCAATTTCTCCCAAAAAGCTCTCAAGGTGCCCAACAATGGAGGAAAATGGACCAAGCTTCGCGGATGAAATAATATAAAAAAACCCTTCTGCCCAGGTAAATTTTACTCTATGCGAACGCGGTCAACACCCCGCGTTCGCGATGAACAGAAAATCATTGACCAATATTAACTCTTCGCGAACGCGGTGACCAACCCGCGAACGCGAACCTTCAGGAGCCTCAACTACGCGAACGCGTCCCCAAGCACGCGAACGCGATGAACAAAAACTCAGGGCCCAACTTCCTTCTACGCGATCGCGGAAACAACCTCGCGATCGCGATGCTTCGCCTTTCAGAACTACGCGAACGCGACCCTACGCCACGCGAACGCGAAGACCAAATTTTCATGCCCTCAAATTCCCTCTACGCGTTCACGACATCACCCATGCGAACGCGAAGAGCAATTTTCTTCTGCAACACAAATAGCTGAACCTGCAATCTTTAAGTCCAAAAATGGTCCGGTTGACCATCCGAAACCACCCCGAGGCCCCCAGGACCTCAACCAATGGTACCAACACATCTTAAAATATTATTCAAACTTGTTCCAATCTTCAAAACACACCACTCAACGCTAAAACCATTAAATCACATCGGATTCAAGCCTAAGTTTCTTAAAAACTTCCGAAATACGCATTCGATCAAAAACCCAACCAAACGGCGTCCGAATGACATGAAATTTTGCACACACATCACAAATCACATATCGAAGCTACAGAAACTCTCGAAATTCCATTCCGACCCTCGGATCAAAATCTCACCTATCAACCGGAATCCGCCAAAATACCAACTTCGCCAATTCGAGCCTAATTCTACATCGGACCTCCAAAATCAATTCCGATCGCACTCCTAAGTCACAAATCATCCCCCGAAGCTAACCGAATCACCGGAAATCACATTCGAGACCTATAACTCATAAGTCAATGTCCGGTTGACTTTTCCAACTTAAGTCTTCCTTAAAGAGACTAAGTGTCTCATTTCTTATCAAAGCCAATCCAAATCAACTCTCACACACCACATACCAATAACAAAACATGAAGAAGCATAAATGTTGTAACAGATGCCTTAAGTCGTCGATCTATGGGTAGCTTAGCACATGTAGAGGCCGAGAAAAGACAATTAACCAGAGAGACTCATCAATTGGCTTATTTGGGGGTTCAGTTAGTAGACTCTAGCAATGGAGGAGTTGTACTCCAAAATACTGCAAAATCATCCCTCATAGCTGAAGTAAAAAGAGAGGCAGTACGAGGATCTAGAGTTAGTCAAGTTGAGAGAGCGGGTTCCACAACAGAAGAAGCCGCTGTTAGAACNAGTGTGTGTGTTACATATATACACACACTAACATATACTATAACAAGTTATATATACGTTATAGTATTACAGTGAATTGAAGTGTATGTGTGTGTGTATGTGTGTGTGTGTGTGTCTATATATATACACACACTATACTATACTGTATATATCAAATATACCTTGTATACTATGCACTTAGAATATAATACACTATATATATATATATATATATATATATATATATATATATATATATATATATATATATATATATGTGTGTGTGTGTGTATGTGTGTGTGTGTGTGTGTGTGTGTATAATATTTTTTAAAAATATTATATATTTTTATATATATATATATATATATATATATATATATAAATTAAAAGTAATTTAATTTTGTTTTAGAAATAGCGACCAACTTTGGTCGCTATTTTGGTCAAACGGTCAAAAATTAGCGATCGACTTTGGTCGCTATTTTGGTCAAAAAGTCAAAACTTATTTGGCTACCAAAATAGCGACCAAAGTTGGTCGCTATTTTTAATTCCAGTAGCAAAACCGGGTTTCCCCTCCCATTCTTTCAAAAAAATTCCCCAAAATCTTTCTTCTCTCTCTCACACTCAAACCCACCCCCCGACTCCCAGCAGCAGCGACGCCCCCCCGCCACCGGCGACCACTGACGGCAGCAGCACCACCTCCGGCGACCTCCACTCCCAAGGTTAGTTTCTCTCTCCTTTCTTTGTTTTTTCCGAAAAATAGTGATTTTTATTAATTCCTCCATGTTAGGGTTCAAAGTTATATATTATTTGTTCAACCATGTTTAGTTCAAAGTTAATTCTCCATGTTAGGGTTTAATTTCTCCATGTTAGGGTTCAATTTCTCCATGTTATATATTATTTGTAATTTTTAGGGTTCTTATTAATACTTTTAGGGTTCAAATAAATTAACTATTTAGGTAGACTAATTTATATATGGGGTTAAATTTCAATTTATGAAGCAACAACAAGAAGCATGGAGAAAGAACATTAAAAATTCTAAATTTAAGCCTTCAAAGGACATGAAACATTTAAATTAG